AAAATAATATAAATACATTTTAGCAAATTTGTTGATTTACCGCAATTCACTACTAATTCCAAAAACCAATTTAAAACCGATTTAGAACAAAATTTAAAGTTGTTAAAGCGCGAAAATACACACGTATCGAGAACTTTTTTTATTTCGTAATAAGATCAGCCTTGTTACACGTCTATTTACTGTATTACAAATCTGTAATTAATTAAAATTTTGATACATATAATGGATATAATCCTAATCACTAAAGTGATAAAATCGAATGGAGTCAAATTAGCCCATATGGGAGGAGTATTATAATCACGTGAAATTGGAAGGATTCTTGTAGGTTAAGATTCCCCTTATTGAAAAAGCTCAGCCAATTCAATCACGTGATTCATGCTAAAGCTAAAAAATTAGAAAATAATGGCATTAATCGACAATTATTTAACAAAGATCAGGTAATAATTTTTGTATCTTTCTTTGATCAATAGTTTATCGAACTATTAACTAATTGTAAGATAAATAAAAAAAAATTACAAATTCGGAATCCTCTCCTAAAATTTCCATATATGAAAAATTTTATTTATTAAAATTTTGTTGCGCAATAAATGAAATTATCAATTCGTCAAATTTCCATTAAACAATTCTATTATTTTTTTTTGCAACATTTAATACAACAACCTAATGTGAAACTTGTTTTAAACTGATATATTGCTAAATATTCAACGGAATTTTGGCAAAAAAAAATACTTTATGTTTAGCGGGCATAAATCTACTAAGTATGTTTTATATTAATACAATAACAGCTTTTGAGATAAATGTTGTGTTTAACATTACATGTTTCCGTTTCGTCACTATCATCAATGTCAAAATGATATCAAATATTTGCTATTTCTACTGATTTATATCGCAAAATAAAAGCATTTGGCGATGTATTATATGTTTAAAATAATATTGTATTTGATCAGGATAGCATTCGATCTATTCATTTACTACTATAAATTTGGCTAAATACATATAATCTCTTATCATTGCAGAGCCGAACACCTCAGATCCAATTTGGTACCTTTTAAATTTTTACACGAAATGCGAATCAATTCACAACTGATTTATGAAAATAATACATGTAGAATTCAATATCATCGAATCAGATAACAGAATGCCCTTAGAATTATTTATTTCTTGAATTTATCCAAAATTGTTCTATTTCATCTGAAGCGAATTAGTCATTCTCTGATGAACTAACAGTAGGCTGATTTTCAAGTAGTTCGGACCTTTTATTACTTTGTCACGACATCTTTATCATTCATTAAATGACACATTATTTTAGGTCGATTTTTCTATAGCTAGTAGATAATGAACTTAAGGTTGTATTTTCATTCTTTCTCAATAAGCTTCATTATTGTAATAATAATTCTAGACTTCTTTCATTAAATCGGATTTTACAATTCAGCTTATTAAATCGAACAACTCAGACAAAATGGTTCAGAATATTGTGATCTTTTTCTGGTAAATGCTCCAAAGTGAAACCGTTGCGTGCATCTAAAAAATATTCGGCAGCAAACCTTCAACACAATTGATATTACCGGAAATTTGTCCTAATTCGGCCAGAACTTAAAATCATAGTTTTTTATATCTTTAACAAATCAGCTTTTGCCAAAACACCTTTATTAACCTACTATCCACTTTGCAATTTGTAATACATAGGAACTATGATAATGAAATGAACTGGGTCAAAATATGGTAAATGCATCCAAATTATAGCGTCTTTAACCAAATGCATTTTGACGATGCTTAGAATTTCGATTAACAAACCAATTGTTCATATTTTGCATTCCTGCATAATTGTGTTAATATCTTCATTTTCACATCAATGGTAAAAAACTAATGACGAAATTAAAAAAATCGTGCAATATACACAACAGATTAATCGTTGCAAGTTTTTTTTTTTTTTATTAAATTAATTATATAATTAAAGAAATAAAATTTTCATTAGTTATGTTTCAGTAAAGGTAATAATTTTCGACATATCATTTTTTTGTAAATCTTTTTCGGGATAACGTCCTGTCAGGAGAATGTCTATCGCAATATATGTTGTCGGGATTACATCATGTCGAGAAAATGCATGTCGATAAAAAGTTCGTTCGGTAATATGTCATGTCGGACAATTGTTATCAGGCAAGGGTGTCGGGATAATGGTTGTCGGAAATCTTGGTGTAAGGATTATTCCATTCTTATTAGGTTCGATTTGGAAATCTTTGTATTTTTTTTCTTTTAAGCTGATTCGATCAGATTTAACAAAGATTTCAAAGATTTTTCAATAAACAAAAATTCAAGACGACTTTTTACATAATAATGCGCCAATATTAAATAAGTTATGTCAATTTTCCTAAATTCCCATGGCGCAGTATCTATTATAAAGACGACTTCCCCTGCGTAACCTTCATAAAATGTCACGAAATGGCCGGCACCACAGCAATTGGCTGGAATTAATTGTGGCGCACATGTGACGTATATTGGTGACAAATATATTTTTAATTAGTGTGGAAAATTCTAAGTCCCAGTAATACTTAGTAAAAATGAAACGCGGAGGGAAGTGACACCGGTGACAAATTATATCACGTGAAATTTCGTGTTACGCAGTGGAAGTCCTATTATGATAAAAAAAATAATGCCTTTATTTATTATTACTATATATTTGGCATTAACTTTAAAAGAATACGTAAATTGGAAAAAAAAGAAAAAGTTGTCTTTATTAAGAGAATCAAGAGAAGTTCCAACATAATTTTTTTTTTTCGAAGCATATCTTTTAAACAAGGAATGATAAAAATGTAATCGTTATACGATTTCGAAAGACTTATTTCAAAACAATACAAAAAGGAAAATGTTATACTACCAATGAAAATAATCTAATTTATATGAAACATGAATATAATATAGAAGACCTTCCGGAGATATTTAATTAAGATGTTGTACTTCGCTCATTTAAACGAATTTGTTTTAATATTTTTTAATTTGATATAATTATTATTTAACGCTGTTTTTAATCGAAAGATGATGTAGAACTCGTTCGGAATTTCAAAAGTTATGGGACCGCCGCGTGTTTTTGAAATTAGCTTTAACACACCATTAAAAAAATTTTGATTTAACTATAAAAGGCCGATCATTTGAATTCTTTGTTATACTTTTATTTTTTTTTAAAAAAAAAAAAAAAATAAATAAAATGTCAAATGAAATTAATAGACATCTTACCTGGATAGAAAAAGCAATTGCCGAAGAAAATTTCAATAATTAATATCGGATTTCAAAAACATAAAACCAAGTGGTTGTTTTAAAAACGTATCAGTTGCTAATTGGAGAGTTACTGATTCCAATTTTGCTTTGAAGTCGTTCGACGATTCTAAGTTAAAGTATAAAGAGATTGTTAATGAGATATTGAAATACGTAATGACTTTAAAATATTATATTGATTAACTCTAAAACTTAAATATTTATAATTTATAGATTATAAAAGTTCATTTTCATCCAAATATTTTGCGATTTTATGGGGTCGTTATCGCGACGAAAAAATGTAAAGTTTTAAGAAATTTAAAATTAAATAATAAAATTAATTTTCGGTTTATTTTAATATCGCGTTTTTTAAATTTAATATTTTTTTTGATTTATTCTTTTTTTTATCAGTGTCGATCATGCATAAATGAATACCCGTTAAGAATACAGGGGTTGTTATCACATGATTTAAAATATTCAGTTTTTTCGCGTTTTATTTGAAGTCGCGTTACAAATTGAATAACGACGCCGAATAAATATCTCATTGGTACTTTCCTTGGCTGTATGAAATGTCAATACTGTGGAGATGAACTAAGTATTCAGAAAAGAATGTGTTCATGTTACAAAATCATAAAACTAAGTAAAAACTACCGAACTGATAAAGTAAAGGTTGCATACTCTTGAGTTTTTACACCTAAACTATTTTAAAATAATATGAATATATTAAAGAAAGTGTCACTCGTTTTAATTAATTTTTTGGATCTCAGTACAAAGTCAACTTTACCTTTTACCCCTTATGCTACTGTTATTTTTAAATGAGAAAATCCCAAATTATTGATAACCCTTCAAATTCTTTGGAAAATAATAAATCAAATGATGATAGCATTGATTTAGATAAACCTGATGATAATGACAAATGTGAATATGAAGTAGACGAAAAATCTGAAATTGAACAAATTATATCATTCAATTTGGTTATAAAATCCTCTACTAGTCTATTATCATTATTAGATGATATATATGCAGATTTCATCATTATGTGGGAAAACTAACTGGTGATAGAAAAATTATACACTCTGATTATTCAGTATCATTTAAGGCAGAAAAACAAGAGGAGTTAGAGCATAGTTGGAAGATATACAAGATTACAAAAAATTTCTTTCAGACTATAAGAAATTGATAGATAAAAAAGAATATGATGATTATAGTTTCTCTTAAAAAGAAAAAGCAAAAAAGAATGTTAATTTTCTTTTTATTTATTTAATACAAAAACTATTTTTTTTTTTATTTTTTAAGAAATTTTAGTATTCAGAAGAATCTGAAAGTAAAAATGTCAAGTTGCATAAAAAGAAAAGTGCAATACTAAAATTGGAAAATTTTTCTACAATTTTACAATCATATATTTGTGAATTAAGAGAGAAATACAAATTTAATCAACATGATGCATCATGTTTTATTAGTGATAAAAGACATATAAAACTTACAGCTAGACATTTACAATGCTAGGTAAAAGAAATTGCAATTTTTTTATAAATTTTTTGTTGACATATTATTTAACTATATTAGAAAAGGTTTAACTTTCTGAATAATTTTTTGATTTTCATGTTAATCAAAATTTCATATATCTTATGCTAGCAATCAGCTTAATGGACGGTAGTTTAATATATAGAAAAAATTCAAATACTTACCTTATTCAACATTACGCTCTAAAATTAATAAAAAGACGCAGAAGCGATTATATTTTTAAAGTACTAATTTACAGCTGATACTAAATCATTTGCCTAAAAATCATTACGTTTATTTTATTACTTATTAAATTATTTATTACAATTTTAATGTTAAAAAATTAACTTTACGGCTTAAATATTTAATTTTGAAAAAAATCTTTATAACTAAATTCAACCTTGTTAATAACATTTTTGCATGTAAAATATTTAATAATAAATAAAAAATTTTACCTTAGATTTTTGAATTCATCATTCTATATTTTAACACATTTTGTTGTATTCGATGATAACTAAATATTACAATTTTCGTGTCTTCATATAGGCATGATAGTGATAAAAGTATTGTATTTAATTCGATGTATTGAAATAATGTGTATTGTTTCCTTTTATGACTCTCAGATCAACAAAAGCTTTCAAGCGAACACTGGCTATGATGATAATGACTCATCACAAGTTATTTAAATTACTAGGGAACGGGACCGTTGTTAAGTCCGGAACGATCTTAACTAAAAAATTCACATTGGTATTTGCTTTATCTAGACTTTTGTGCAAATTACAAAGGCCAATTTAGAGTTGAAACCGGATGTACCATTCGGTTTTAAATCCGGTTCGGTTTGACCCGGATTTATGTTACGAAAACCGGTTTGCGTTTAAAACGGTGCAACTGGGTGTCCAAACCGGTTTGATACTAACAAAAATTTCTAAATTTAAGCACCGATTAGTAGAATTTACAAATTTTACAATATAAAAAGCTTATCGTTATGAAATAATTTGATTAATAATAATTTTTTTTTTTTTTTGGAAAGTTTTTTCGGCACAATGAAAGTTTTTAAGTGCTGAAGTGCAGATCATTTTGCGCAATATATGGATGGCTATTGTTTTTTAAACAAAAATTCCATGAATTGTTTTTTGCGTAAATTTCGTAAATTTGATAATTAACAAATATAAAACCGGTTGCAAAGATCGGTTTCAACCGGATTTGTAAAAATCGATTTGAAAAGGGTCGAACCGGTTGCACCCGTTTTAAATTCGGTTTTCAAAAATGCAACCTGTTCCGGACTAATTAATATCGTTCAATTATAATTTATAATTATAACCCATTAATAATAATAATCCTCCCAATACACATCATTGTCAGCTTGGATGGCTAACGTTCCCTTCACATTCAATAATTTTGGCTATAGCAATCGATCATTTTATCTTTCTCTTTTATGGATAAATTCCAAAAGTATACAATAGCTAGAGTGGTGACCATTATGATAGAACCTTGAATTTCGACTCAGACCTCCCTAGTTTAAAGTAAAATCTTATCAAAAGTCTAGATCTACAAAAGTTAAGTTCGTTAAAGTTATAAAAAAAATTTTGCAAGGTAAGTTTTTACTTAAATTTTTTTCAAACAAAAAAAGAAAAATAACTAACATTCTCTTACCTTCATTTTAATAATCCAAGAATTCGATTGATATCTACTAAAGGTAGGTGCTTCTAAAAACAAAAAGAAAAGTTCTACCTCAGTTCCATTGATAATTACATTACACTAAAGAAAATCAAAAAAAAAAAAAAAATAAATAAAATGGTTGCCTATCGCCATTAATGTTAACGCGATAGTTATTTACAAAATTCTCTGAATTCGCGCATATTATTTTCGAAGCTGGTTCTAGAGGTTGGAACCGGTTAATTTTTAACTGGTTAATTAACCGGTTAAAGATTTTTTTAACCGGTTAAAATAGATGAATTTAAATCCGGCCGAAATTCAATTTCCGGCCAGAA